AACGGCAAGAGACCTTGGGAAGGAGAAGAGACAAGGAAAGCCGATAGGACGGTGACTTCACGTCCCTGAGGTTTTCCTTTCTTCGGAAGAGAGATATAAGCAGACACAACCTTCTCTGAAACTATTTCCCCCCAATCGCCGGAGAATCCTCCGTCCGCAGAAACCTCCATTGGAACCGACCGCCGGCGGGAATTTCTCGACTCCAGTTACTTTTATCTGCCTCCCAAAACGGCCCAATAAGGCCCACAACACTTGACCCTCGATGACAAATAGAAGGAAGAAAGGGACCCGCGTGTAAATAACTTTAAAGTTTAGGGACCGTATTTAAAAGTAGTTAAATCAAATGGGATAAGCATAAACACTCACTCTTAATAAAAAAAGGCATAATTAAAGTCACTCGGCCACTCACTTCCTTCACGTCTCTCCAAAATTCAAATTCCTCAGCTCCGCTTAACCAATCGTTGATCGACGTACGAATTCAAATAGATCCGTGATCTGGAATCGTAATTTCATGGCGAACCCAGACGGTAAATGGAATCTCTGCGATTCTGTGATAAAGTTGGTAAGAAGAGTACTCATTTTGTTTCATCCAAAATCTTGTTCGCGGAACTTCGTGATAAGGTTTGATTGAATTTCAGAGAGAGAATCTGGAGAGGAGAAAGGATACAGTTTACGTCGGATGTGGTGCTGGATTCGGCGGTGATAGGCCATTGGCGGCTCTCAAACTGCTTCAGAGAGTCGAAGAGATTAACTATTTGGTCCTTGAGTGCTTAGCTGAACGGACATTGGCTGATCGATGGCTGTCTATGGCATCTGGCGGTGACGGTTACGACCCTCGTGGTATGTTTCGACACCTTGGTAGTCATAAAGTGGCTAGAATGGTTAATAGGGGATGTTTATACCTTTAAAAATCAGTCCTTTTTCTGCTGTTGTCCAGTTTCAGAGTGGATGCGTTTGTTATTGCCTATTTCTGTGGAGAAAGGCACTTGTATAATCACTAACATGGGTGCAAGTAAGAAGCTTTGAATCTATTACGGAGGCCTTCTTTCTGAATGTTAGTTTTGCTTATATTTGAATTTTCGTGTTTTGTCGTTGTAGTTGATCCCTCTGGGGCTCAGAAGAAAGTTCTTGAGGTAGCCAGTGAATTAGGGCTCACAATCTCCGTGGCTGTGGCTCATGAGGTGCATTTTGAAGCAGGTACTAGCTTCCTTTAACGGAAGGTACTCTCATCCCTGGGAGATATAACTAGTGTTCTGAGTATTCGGCACTGCCTGAACCCATAATAAGTGTGTCTAACCCTTGTCTTTGAATCTTACTTAGACTCTGGATCATCTTTTGGCGGTCAATGTTGCTCGGAGGGGGTACGATTTCTGGTTCTCTAACTCTTGATGTTACGAGAGTAAACAGTTTCTAATTCAGACTACCAAGGTTTATCTAGCTCCTCCTAGTGATATATGTGGCTGTCCTGAACTTTTATTCTCCTTGTTGAAGGGTAGTAGCACTTATCTTGGAGCAGCTCCTATTGTTGAATGCCTGGAGAAGTACCAACCAGACGTGATAATTACTTCAAGAGTGGCTGATGCCGCCTTATTTTTAGCACCGATGGTGAGGACTTGTTGTCTGTCTAGTTATCTAGTTTTTGACAGCCAGGCTTTCTTGTTTAACCATGGGCTTGCATGTCAATTCAGTTTTGTAATCATAAATATTCATCGATTCTTCTCTCTTTGGCTTGGATTAGATTCAAGAGGCTTTCCTGTTTCGTGATTTAACCTGATCACTTTCTTGTTGCATGGTTAGGTCTATGAACTAGGTTGGAATTGGAATGACTTGGAGCTGCTAGCTCAAGGAACTCTTGCTGGCCACCTTCTTGAGTGCGGTTGTCAGCTCACTGGTGGATATTTCATGCATCCAGGTGCGTTTCACCCTTACTGACTCAGGGAAGAATTAACGGGGCTGCTGTTTTTCAGTATCGGTAAGGTCATTCCATTCTTCAATGTTCTTTAGGTGACCAGTATAGGGACATGGCTTTCCCTCTCCTCCAGGATTTGTCACTTCCTTATGCAGAAATTGGCTATGATGGAAAAGTATGTGTAGCAAAGGCTGAAGGTAGTGGTGGAATTTTAAATACCGCTACATGCGCCGAGCAGCTTCTTTATGAAATTGCTGATCCTAGTGCCTACATTACACCTGATGTGGTAAGTTAGAGATACAAATTCTAGAAGAAATAACTATAACAACAATGGAAACAGTCAAATTGAAAACCTTATTTACAGGTAATTGATATTCGAGACGTTTCTTTCCTCCCTCTGTCAGACTGCAAAGTACAATGCAGTGGGGCAAATCCATCGGCTAACACTGCTATGCCTGAGAAACTCTTGCGGTTGATTCCAAAGGTTGTTTATCCATAGAAATGCTGGTTATACTGAAGAGGAACCTAGGTTTGGTTATATAATTCGTACTTTCTTCGCAGGAATGTGGTTGGAAAGGATGGGGAGAGATATCTTATGGAGGACATGGATCTATTCAACGTGCTAAAGCTTCAGAGTTTCTGGTGTGCCTATAGTTAAATATGTCTATGATGTAGTAGCATTATTTGTCCCTATGTGAGTTTGTTTCACTTGAAATGACTCCTTATGGTGCCTGAAATTGGAGCTTCATTTCTTATCAAGTGTTTACGTATTTTACTTATGTTTTTTTCCCTTTTTCTTTCAGGTTCGATCATGGATGGAAGAAACCATTCCTGGTATTAACCACTGTATTCTTTCTTATGGAATTGGGCTTGATAGCTTGAAGGCGACAAGCAATGGCGCTGAATCATCTTGGCAGTCATGTGGAGATATTAGATTACGTATGGATGGTCTTTTCAAACTGAAGGAACATGCGGTCCAGTTAACGAAAGAGTTTACTGCTTTATATACAAACGGACCAGCTGGTGGTGGTGGAATTAGGTAATTCCTTCACGTTGATGTTTGCTCTAAATTACAGCCATAGCTCAATCCAATGCTTATTGTAGCATTACAGTAGTACCAAATGCTGTTGATTTGAGATATCTTATGACTAGGGGGCCTTGACAAATATTTAGTTTGAGTATGCTTCTGTCTCTATATCTGATTATGCTGACTGATAATCTTTATCTTGGCAAAAGAGAGCATATGAGATTCTGGATGGTCTTTTTGGTTTGACTTGAGTGCTTGTAATTAAAATGCAGTACCGGACACAAGATGGAGATTGTTCTTGAAAAGCGTTTGGTATGTTGTCTCCATCAAGATATTCCAACTAATATAGCCTTTGCATAAATCAATTTTCACGGCTTCTGATGTCACATGTCTGGTTATCCAGGTCAGCCGAGAATCTGTAATGTGGAAAACTGGACTTCAGCACACCCAAACATCAGACTCAGAGACTCCTAAACATCCTTCTCCAGTTGCTCGAGAGGAACTCCACAAGGTTAGTGAGAAAGTACTTGCTCTAGTCGGTTCATTTCCCTTGTTGATAGCTAATACTACTTGCTCTAGTCAGTTCATTTCCCTTGTTGATAGCTAATACTAAACTAAGTTCTTAGGCGAATTAGACATTCCTTGGCGAACCGTTCTAATGGATGGATGATTCAATGTGTGTTCGAATGAGAGAAAACAATTTTTAAGACGCACATATGTTTTATTACTTGAAAGCTGAAAATCTAAAAATAACCCATTAACAGCTTGGTTTTGCTTCCACTTGTAGATCCCAATTGAAAATCAAGATCTTGTTACCACGAAAGGCGATCAGTGGACGGATTCATCTAGAATTCATCACTCTCCTGCTCCATCTGGCCAAAAGATCCCACTCTACTCTGTTGCTCATAGCCGAGCTGGTGATAAAGGAAATGACATAAACTTCTCACTAATCCCACATTATTCCCAAGATATCGAGCGTCTGAAACTCATCATAACTCCTCCATGGGTAAAAAATGTGATGTCAGTTCTGTTATCAACCTCTTCGTTTCTCGAAATCGATGCGAAACCAATTGATGAGAATGTGTCCGTAGAGATATATGATGTTAAAGGCATTCATGCTTTGAATGTTGTCGTAAGGAACATATTAGATGGCGGAGTCAACTGTTCGAGGAGAATTGATCGACATGGAAAGACAATTTCAGATCTCATCTTATGTCAACAAGTTGTGTTATAACACTACTTTTTAACTTAACAAAACAAATCAGATTTTTCTATATCAAATAATTGTGGGGTATAATCTTTACGAAATGAGACTTGAACTACACGAATTCGACTTAGTGGTGCTTCACTTTGTTTTTATTATTATTGCTTTAATTTACAACTGGGTATCTTGATACATACGCATACAAAAATGTATCAAAAGCATATCTTTATTGACAAAGAATATTTATTATTATGGGTATTATAATTTATAACAAACAAAACAGAATAGAATATATGTATAAATGTTAGGTAGTTATATTCCTTTTGCAGGTATTAGAAAAATCTGACATGGGTTGCACCACCTCAGGGACAGTTGGCTTAAAGTAACATCCTTAATGGGTTTGAAATTGTCAGAAACCACAAACCCTTCTTTTGCTCAACTCCAATCACTTTTGCCACCCAATTTTATCTCATTGATTCTGCAAAAGAAAGACAAA